TGCTTTAAAAGTCAGAGAGCCTCTTTTAGGCAGAAAATATAGAAAAAGGTGAAAACAATTGAAAAGATTCGATGAATTTCCAAGATAATACGACCAGTTTAGGATTAGTTTGTTCTTGATGTTAGTTGTATTAACCATGTTAGTCTTCAATTCTAACCTAGTCAAAAACGTACTAATGTTATGATACTGCTATTAGCTTAATGTTTTAGTTTGATTTAGAATTAGAGTGTAACATGTACCTGCTGTATTCTTTAACCACATATTTGCTCTGTTTGTGGTGGTATTCATGGTCGTAACTCCCACGTTTCATCCACCCTGACATGGTGACACTGTAGATACTGACCTGTTGGACCAGCAACAAACAAACACAAACACACTGACATGTTGACAAGATATAGTAGATCCTCACCTACAAGTCAGACCAGCGACACAGCGACGCCAACATACACAAACACAAGGGCTACCAACCCCAAAAGGACTGCAAAAGTGACTTTAGGAAGATGCTGCTCTCAAGGATGCCGTCATGAAGATAATAAAAAAAAGGACAGATATTGTAAATCCTTGTCAACACATCAGAAAGTGACAGATAGACAGGACGTGTCCTGTCTTTGTCTCTGTTGATGATGTGGTCGACTTGGCAATCGTACGTAGATTCGTGGAAAATATATTTGTGTAAACAGCCTCATCCCCGGCCAGAAGAAAGGCCCTTTTGGAATTTGGACACACGGAGGTGGTTAAACTCTCACACACAATCAGCTTCAGGAATGACAAGGTGACGTTATACTGATTTAAGAACGGCAGTAACACATACACAAGATATGGATGTCAACTAATGCTGAATCAGTGATGTATGGGAACACTCACTGACTGAGTAGAGCTGCATCAAATACTGTCAATATGTTGACAGCTCTAAATTCTCATGAGCAGTTGCATATTCATGATATGCTATGTATCATATTTTTATAAGTTTATACAGTGGTGGACCGTGAATACAGTTATTTTCAACTTGAAAGTCAAGTGAATAAAACAATCAAATAGGAGAGGTGTGTTACTTACTCTACAAAAGAGATCTTATTATAACTTCTTTAGTTATTCACATGATATTGTGCACTGGCAGACAGACTTATATAGCATGACAAAAACACTCAAGATATTCCCACTGATACAAATAAAGCAAGACAGTGCTACACATGTATTACTGGCAGTTAAGTTGTTGTGTGTCATAGTAGACATAATACGTTTTACAGTGCACACGCCAAATGAAGAGCATAACCCTGTCTCACGTCACACAATCATTGCAGCCTTCAAACATAATTGCCTTACATCATCTAAATTGTCAGACGCCAGAAATAAGGACAGATGAAACTTGAAGGAATTCTCCCTGGCAAACCGTGAACGCTACTGAGACATTCTCCAATTTAGAAAGATATTCCTGTTACCAGACTTCTGGAACCCTTTCCCCTGCCCGTTTTACTCACTTCTAATGCCTTAAATCTGCAAACCGAGCAGCCAGACAATCAGAGAGATGACATCATCATGCCCCAACCCCACTGAAGGCAACAGCAACAGTTACAATCCCAGTTAAACTGTGTAGTTGTTCAGTAGGAAAGGAAACATTTTTAAATTTATCACACAAGATATATTCAAGGAATAACAAACCATGTTAAGTCTCTATTGTCTCTTGTGAGTGAGTAAAGTGTATTTATGTAACCGCGTAACACAAAATCAAAGCTGCAGACGGGCCTCTCAACAAAAAACAGGATTAAATTCAACTGTCCTAAGGCAAGTTTTCCCTGCAGACTTGTCATATTCTAGTCCCATCTGTCCTAAACCCGCCGTGGCTGTCCTCTGTCTCTGTCAGTCCAACCAAAACTGTAAGAGCACAAATGTCTGCCAAATGACACCCGAGCCCGCCGCCTGCAGCAGTAAACCTCTGAAATTCTCGACAGGAACCGTTAAACCTCTGAACAGTTGCTTTTTTGATATACACACTCGCTTTGAGCTCGCTACTGGCAGTAATACGATGGCATAATAATGGTTTGTTTGTGTTGCAAGTTTGTTATTTTAAGATCAAACACAGTCAACAGTCAATGAGTCAGAAAAACAAAAAAGCAGCAATTTTGGCTCTGAAGCAACTATCCAAAGTGTCCACACCGTGTTTTATTCCCGAGTAGGAGCCCATTTTAACCAGTTAAGTCCAACAAAAAACACAAAGATAATTGTGGTTTTGTCTCAAATAAGACAATTATTGTCAATACAGTGGTTAACAAATTTATTTGGATTTAATTTCCGCACATCCTTTATTTTTATCATATGTCTATCGCTCATCACTTTAAATATTATCAGTTCTGATTTGGGCCAAAAACATTTATTGGTCTTTTCTTAGTTCCTACACCCCACAACCTCACCAGCTTCACTTGGGTTTCTCAACAAAAGTAGATTCCTTGCTGAGGATACAAAAGTGATAGAAACAAAAAGAGAAAGACATTTTTGCCTTCTTACCCCTTGAGATTTCTTTTGCAGCGACCTCGGTTGTCAGCCTGAATCCACCGGGAGTCAGCCTAAACCAAGTACCAGGCCAACAAAACCACCGCCCGTCTTCAACCGACCCCCACCTGCCGTTCCCCGAGGCCTTAAAAGGAAAGAGAGCTTGCCTATATATAACCAGTATGCTTCAATACTCACGGCTACCAGAACCAGTCACCCGTTTGATTTTAATAGTAATTGCTGGTTTCAGGGGCTTTGCCGAAACAACTGATGCTCATCAAAAGAGCCCCTGATCTAGACAATGCAGGAAATCTGTTATGGGGCACCGACACATTTTCAAGCAGCATTTCTGGAATGGGCAGCAACATAGTGAGCTCATTCAAGAACCAAATAGCAACAGAAGGCGGCTGCTTTTTCCACACCAAAATGGCGCTTAACTGTTGATTTTCAAAACACACATTTGAAAGCATTTCAGAGCTAATTGAGCATTTGAATCAATTTAAAATGCAATGTTGCTACATGTATGTACAGTTTATGGTGGTTTCACATTTAAAATGTGTCAGCAACACTTTAACCAGCATTTTAGTCCATCTGTAAGATCTTTCTCCATCTGAATCTTGAGAAACTATATCGCACACTGAACTTTAGCCAGCGCCTATTTATAAAACTAGCTACAGTTACAGCTAGACTATTCCTGACGCAGTGGAGGAGCTGTGAAAGACATTTCACATCTCAGGCAGAATCAAATGATGGGAAAATATGGCGTTACACTTGAGAAAAGGAAAGAGAGAGAGAGTGGCAGGATGTGTGAACAGAGACATAAAACTTTACAGTATACTTAACCAATATCCGGCGACTGTTGATGAAATTATCGAGAGAATGAGACATACCAAAAGACTGGATTTTAGTCTCTCAACTACAACACAGTTGAAGGTTCACTATTAGAAAGAAATAAATCAATGATAATGAAGTTATAATATGATTATGTTACAAGACCAGAGGCTCTGTATCACTGTCTCTGCATCCTCTTGCTCTCCAAAACTCCAGGATGCTGGGCTTCACTTTATGTGAGATGCTGATGTTTTCATTTGCATGAACAATAACCTGCAGAATGTTGAGCTTTATGTCAGATCAAAGGTGTTTTCTCATAGTTTTGGTTCGCCAACCTGAATGAAGACCATCAATCACGAGCTTTCTCTAAATTTATTCTCATCCAGAGAATCCCAAACATGATTCTGTGTTCGTCAGGGGGTCTGAACAGGAAAACCATTGTATCAGCAGAGCAAAAATGTTGCGCACAGCAGGGTGTAGGGCAGGTGGGATTTTCCTTGAAAGTTATTATTTTGATCTTGTAGTTCTATGAATTTGTCTTCAAAATATTACAACTTAATTTTCTCAGATCTCAGATTTTAGATTAGCGGGAACATTTTTAACATTAAAACATTAGCTATATAAATCTAGAAATGAATGATTGACTGAATGAATAAATGCATCATTGAGGTGTACTGGCGTACAATGGAAGCAACCTCTTTATGGTTACTTCCAAAAACAAAAGACAACGACATAAGAGGAAATCTTACTAATACTATTATCATTATTATTATTATTGGACTAATAAGTTCCCGTCTCCATTATCTCCCCAATTACATTTGAAAAACGTACTTGTTTGAAGTGATTTTTGTTAAGTGTTACTCTCTAATTAATGTCATACATGCTAAATATATAGGATTTATTAAAGTATATATACGTACAAAGTATATTAAAATGCATTTTGTTGAGAAGTTAAACTCTGTGTCTTAGATAAACAAAAGGTGGTTTACACTTCAGTTAGTCAATGTAAGACACATAACACATATGTTATGTGAGTACTTCTGCACGTACTTCTCCCATTGTAATCTTTCGTTTCTCTATTCGTGTGTGTGTGTGTGTGTGTGTGTGTGTGTGTGTGTGTGTGTGTGTGTGTGTGTGTGTGTGTGTGTCAAAAAAGGGAAGGATGTCTGTCTGGGGTCGAAAGAGACCTCTATTGGTCATGAGTAAGTATATTGGAACCACAGCCCAGTAATCATTTTTGCACATTATGTTGTTGGTGAGCCAGGCCTTCAGAAAAATTATGTTGTAATCATTATTTTACAATTGAACAAGGAATATATAAAAAAAGTATATTTATACACATACACACACATATAGGCCTTTATGTATATACACAGAACGTCATGTACAACTAGAAAATGCATTTCCTGCAGAAAATGCGTTGGAATGCTGAAAGCTAAAAGCAATTTTAAAAAATTGCTGAAAATACAGACATGATACAATACTTGGAATGCTGAATCAGCATTCCAAAAATAAAGATTCAAAGAACAGTACTTGGAATGCTGAAAAGCATTCCAACAAATATACATCGTTATACCGCACTTTATAAAAAGAAAGGGTGCACATTGCTGGACAAGGAAGAACCGGTGCGCTCCGGACAATATATCAAACATACCGTCAAACCACGTGATGATGCAGGAAGTCAACGGCGCACACGATTGGCTCAGTAGACAGACGCAGGCCCTCAGTTGAGGAACATCAACAACACTTATCCCGTTTAGTGAATCGTGTCGGAACACACGTAAACACGACACCATTTCTTTGCAAACATATCCGCGAAGGTGAGGCATATCTAAACATTACATTCGTTTAACGTTAAATGTAAAGGTTGTCCCTTACGACGGTTTTACGCCGTGTTCGTTGTTCGCGTTTGGAGATTCGTTATTTAACTTTAACTTAACGTTAACTATTATTTCAGCATACTTCGCTAATGTTTAACGTTAAACTTAAACTAGATATCATAGAATATTACGGTCGGCCCTCGCTCACACTGTAACGTGAATAATGTTTTGCTGTTGTTTACTCCAAAGTGCTTCATGACATCTGAAGTTCCGACGGGAGCCGCAGCTTAAAATAACTGATATTTTTCTAGGAAGTAGCCGCGATGAATGCGTCTCCTCGACTCTATAGCCCATAGATAGGGCACGTTTCGCAGAACATTGTTAGTGTCCAGTGATAAGTGTGATTATTAGATAAGTACATATATACAATAGTATTACTATGTGTTTATATGGATCAATTGTCGCCTGGTTGATGTCATTGGTGGCTGAAATGGTCCTCGTTATTTGTGGATAAGAGCCATAGTCATTTCATACAATCGATGCTGTCTTGTGTTCGTTGTCTTATTAAGTGGTCACGAGATCTAAACGCCACTTCCTCCCAGAAAAAGCCACGACCTGTTTTTTCACCTTTTTTTTTTTTTAAACAATTTGGGATTTTTCTCTCGTTTATCCTGTTCATGTACCACATGTTTTCATTAAAATACATTATTACTTAAATGCATGGCTTTATTTAATCAATGCAGACGTTGTTGTTGTGCATGTATTGTGGATGTTGGAGGAACATACCATTGTTCTTATGCTCAATACGGAGTCCTGTCCGTTGACAAATCCTTTGTCTTCTTTTAGATCTGACATGAAGCTCTGCATCCCCCCACTGCTCTGCCTGGCAGTGGCCTTTTCATCGGCCTTTGTGATTTCCCCTCCGTGAGTACAACAAAATAACGTACCGCACATGTAGGTGAATATGATATGAGATGCTCTAATGAACTGCTGTTGTTGTTTTTTTTGATTTGAGTGTGCTTGTATTTCAGACACATGTGGACCAAACTGATCCTGACCCACCACTGGCCAAGCACATTCTGTAGTGTGAGTTTCTTTCTGCCTTTACTAGTTATTTTATTTATAGGACAGGGGAGGTCCCAAAGAAGTTTATTTTCCCTTCCAACTAAGTCATTTAATATAGAGTCCCAATCCTTTCATCCGTTTCCCGGCACACTTCAAAGAACATACATATAAGTTACTTCTTTGTTTTATTTTGACCCTCTGTGTATTCTCTCCGGCTCTGTTGCTGTCAAGGTGATTTTTCTCTCTTTATGAAAGTGTGCTTCAGCGTTTGTTTCTTCAGTGCAGCCATTTCCCCTTTAACCAAGTTACCGTAACAATCTGCCCTCTACGGAGTTTTTGACTGTACACGTGTCTTGCGCTTATTAGAAATAGACTCATTTGGGCTCACAGTGCTTTTAATGCGCTTGTATTGGAATTTTTAGTGTTGTTGTCGTTGCCTGTGCACCATAAAACACCACGCCCCATAAGTTACATTAAAAACACTACTGACACTCACACTGGTCTGAAATGAAACAATTGCACTTAAATTAAGTGAATCATTTTAATTGTAAAAAGAATAGCTCCATACAGACGATACCATTGTTTTCCTTGTTGTTTCCTTGTTCCTTGTTGTTTCCTTATTGTAGTCAGACAACTCGCTGCTTTGGCAATCAATATTAGCTGTTATGTTTAAACTATGCTAGGCTGCAGAAACACGCATGCAGGCTGAAATTCAACTGTGTGGTTCAGTTGGGAAATTCAGTAACTTCAACCGAGGAAGCAAAGAGAAATGAGGAAAGTGAAGCCACTGGGCTGATTCATTAGAAAAATGCCCGTGGCAAAACAAAACAACATGTGACATACATCCATTTATGCACCAGTAAAGATGAAACCAGTTCAATAATAAATAAAACATCATGGTTTAGTATAAAGAGATAAGATTATTCCTACAATTGAGTATCTACCGATAATGATCCATCAATTGTGTTAAACGGGAAAATAAAATGGTACCCCTGACAATGTCCTTAGACAATTTTTAAATTGTCAAAGAATCGTATCTATATACTGTATAACTAAGTAAATGCTTTATATTTGCATATCATGAGAATGGATATGTCTCAACTATCTGGTTTAATCAGGCACTGGAACACTGGAAGATGCCGTTTTAAGAGTCTCGATACAAAACGCACATCTCTTATCATGTTTCTTTGACCGTACATTTATTGCTCTTCATGTTTTTCCAGACAACCTCTTGGAATGTTGAATCCTTGAGTGACATGTGGTTTTGTTTCACATGACTTGTTGTGTGTCAGGAGGTTTGTCAAGATTGTGCTCCTGCTATGACAAGTTTATGTTAATGTAGAACTTTTATTTTAAGGCTTCTGTATGTTGAAAGTGTTTATTCATTTTATGTACTACAAACAGTCTGATCAAACAATAATATAAATATATCATTAATTGTATCCCGGCCAGCTGATCTCCAAAGATCAATTGATATCGACATGTTTAAGTGTTAAGTGCTTCCAGAGGGAATAACAACACAAATGTGTATATATTTCAGATGGAAAAGCCAGCTTGTCATCCCAACATAAGTTACTGGACACTACATGGACTTTGGTATGTGTGTGTTTTTGTTTTCATTATGAAATCAGTTAAGAATTACCTCTTTTCATTATCAGCATAGCAGAAGTTAACAACTGCCTGTAATGTATCGGATTCTTTAAATAATGGGTACGAGTAAATGTCCTGTCTGAAAATATCAGTAATATCTCATTGTTGCTTGGCTGTAATCTGATTTTCTACTTCCTTTTTCTGTGATTGAGGAACACGGGGCAAGTGAGATATGTAATACTGTGAATCTTAACTCTTTTCCAGGCCAGATAAAGGGATTGTCTGCAATTCATCATGGCATTTCAACTCTTCTCTTCTAGAGGTACAACACTGTCCCCACACAGTGTCTTTCATAACTGTAAAAACATATTCTTCTACCTGAAGAACATCTTTCTGTAAGACAGTAGTCACTTTTATTCATTGAGAATAACAAACGGACAATGGTTACATCGATGTGCAGGAAAAAGGAAGAACGGGAGTGTAAAAGTAAAATGTAAAGCTCTTTAGTCTTTCCCCTTACCGTTATATAGCAGCTCCTCCTCCTTCCCTCTGGCGGGTTTACTAATGAATAAAACAAATGTTTTTCTGTGTGTGCGTTCTCAGGACCTGCTTCCAGACATGAAGAAGAGTTGGCCAAACTTGCTGAGCCCCTCGTCTGCTTCATTCTGGTATGCTATCAATCAATCCTTTAAATGTCTCCTGTCTTTAAATCTGTCTGATATTTGATTTAGTCTGGTATATTCTAGCTATATGTACTGCATTACTGTGCTTCTACCACAATAGCAGTTTCTAGCTTTGTTGTTTGTCGGTATTGTCTGTTGTGTATTTGGATATAGAGGTAATTGACAAGTGATAATAAGTACCTTACAATACTGCTGATTGCAGCAGTAGGCAGGGATGAACTTTGGTCCCTCATAACTTGATGCGTTCACTCTCGAATGGTCTGAAAGCTACACAGTGTGTGATCGTAACCTTATTTTCAAACAAACAATAATTTAAAGGAAGCACAGCATGTAAAGCATTTAAAGGATGCACAGCCTACCTGTCTTCTTGATACGCTACTGCACAATTATTATAACGTATATTAATCTGTCTATAAATCTGGGCGTACACAAAACAATGCTCCATGCCCCTACAGGTATAGAGAGTTGTTGACAACCAGATAGATATTTATTGTTTACCAGCTCTCACCACAGGATCTTTGGTTCTTTGGAGTCAATCTATTAAGCATTACGTCATTCCTGAATCCTTGGAATTCCTTTGTACCCAGTTTTTGTAAAACCCATTGACACTTGTTTTATTCAACAGGAAGTATGAGTGGCACAAACATGGCACATGTGCAGCCAAAGCAGCTTCTCTGAATACTCAGCACAAATACTTCAGCAAGGCACTGGAACTATATCACAAGTTGGATTTGGACAGGTACCGCGCATTTACCCATTCACACTCACACACACACACACACTCTCACACACACACTCTCACTCACACACACACACACACACACACACACATTTCTTTCCCCTAAAACAATGTTTCATTTTCTAGTTTTTTTTGTATTGTGTTGATGTTCCTAATCACTGTTAACCCCACATGTTTGGTGTCCACAGCTTAGTTCACAGAAACCCGACTACCTCTGGATTCCTATTTTAAGTTGATCTGTATAAAAAAATAACGCACAAATCTAAATCTTACTTTCTGTTATTGTAGCATCCTGAAGAAGTTTGACATTGTACCATCAGCGACATACTACAAAGTGCGTACATTTATATTGTGATATTAAACTGTATATTTATAATTGTTTGGTACTAATAGATCCTTAATATGTGTGTGTTGTGTTAGGAATAAAATATGGGCCTAATAATAATATTGCTCTTCACTCTGCTCCGATGTGTCTTGGTGTAGCTTTCGCAAATTGAGGGAGTCATAGAGAACTTCTACAACGTCAAACCAAAGATCCAATGTGTCCATCCATCAAAGGTACAAACACCTAGATTCATTCACATAATTACATGACTTGCTGTTATTGTTTTGAATGGTCCTACTTTTCACGTGTGCATTTATTATCAGGCATCTGTATTTGATCTGTTAGATTCTCAAGATGGTTGTTTTTTTGTGTTTGACAGAACCCGGATGTCCAGATTTTGGGGCAGATTGAGATCTGCCTCGACCCTGACTTCACCCTCATGGACTGTGAGAAACATTTGACCACGGAGAAGATGTCTAAGGGGGACTGGAAAAACCTCATTGTTGATGACAAGGCATCTGGGTTCAGTGTCTGTGACCTCAATGTGCCGGTTTACTACCCACCTCTTCCATCAACACATGAACGCACAAACTGAACGGCAACAGCACACTACAGCCCTACTTCAACCAAGTCGAGGACATTGAAACTAGATAAACTGTGCTGATATTTAGCATGTGTGCACACACTAACTTAACAGTTTTCACAATGAACACGACATGTCAAAGATGCCCTCACACAATCAGTGCAGTCTAAAAATATTTTGAACAGTATATAAAATTCTGGCGGTGACACGGTGTGGGGGAAAAAATAGAATCTCTTTTAAGTGCATTGCTCTTTTTATATCCAGCAAAGGCCAGAACACACAAAGTCCAATAGTACGTAGTGCTTTGATGGAATTATGTCCCAGATATAGTGGCCAGACGCAGGAGAGCTCAGGTCAGGACATATGCAATATTCATGTGCTGTATTTTGTTGCCAAATGAGTGTAGCCTTGCATTACATTTACTGTTGACTCGTACTTCATGTTATTGACTTTGCCAAGGCGTCAAAGTTGAATATCTTGTGACGTCCGACCATTTTTTATATCACATTTTTGTTATGTGCCATCTCTTTTTCTGCTTGGCTGATTGCTAAATTATGATACAATTATGATAATTAAATCCAGGATATTAGCTGGTTTTCTCTTTTGTTGAATCACTGCCCAAATAATATAATATGCAGGTTCTTGTGATAGCTGCTGCTTTACAATAACATCCAGGACATTCAGGCGTTATGGACTAGTGGGATTATTTAAAGCTGTGTTTTACGCCTGGTTATGATTTGTCCATGTTGCTGATGTCAACTTAAAACCACGCAACCAATGTATAGACTAGAAATTAAATATAGTATTGTAATGAGTAATTGTTGCCTTGTTCTGCTTTAGTAAACATGAGTCCACAAAATACACAAAACACAATATAAATACAAATCCACACATTATACATTGTACACATTAAGTTGTACATGTTGCTCATATATTGATGATGATCTTGAACCAAATTGTACAAATTCAGTACTCGTTTCTCAAGGATCTAGTAAATAATTTAGTAAACACTACTTGTTTCTATTGCTGCTGTTTGACCACTGCTTTTGTGAATCAATACATAAATTGTAAGCTGAAAAGTTTTTTTTAATGTCAAATAAACATTGGAATTTTTATGTGACATTTAATATTGATTATGGTTTATATGCATGCTTAATCTCTGTGATAGAACGTGAATGTGCAACCTATAGATTGAGTTTGGTGGATGAATAAAGAAGAGCTCATCTTCCTCGCAGAGGATGGTTTTAACTGTCAAAATCTACAATGTAAAACCGTACTGTACTGTGCCAGTCATTCTATCCACATGTACTCTGCGGGTATGAATATTCATTGCTGTGATCTCCTTACAAAGCCTTAATCCTCCCTGGACAAAGACACCAGTCTATAATCCTGAATCTCCACCCACTGGACACATCTGATTATATTTTCAATAGTGTGTTAATATGTCTTGAAACTATGTGCCAGCTACATTCTAAATGTGGTCCAAATCCTTGGAAAGACATGAAAACAGCAGCTCTATGACCTCTGTCATTACAAGTTAGGATAAAAGTGTGAATTACAGGAAAAGTCCCCAGGCGGATTAAATGAGATATCTATTTTATAAATAAATGCAAGTCCACACCGGCTACAGACACGTGACCCAGGTAGAGCAGTAGTCCTGATTCACCTCCGGCTGAAGCCCTTCTCCTGTCTCTTCCACTTCCCCTGCCCTCTCTCCCTCTCTCGCTTATGCAACACTGCAGTTCTGCAAAGCTGCTGATGTGACAGATCCATGTACCTACACACACTCACACACACACACACACATGCCAAGTGATGAACCAGATCACGGTGTCCACTCCCTGATTGCTGTCCTTGCTTCTGTCATCAGCATTGATTGTAAAATGGATTGCTGTCCTGAAAATGAATTCTAATGTAATGACGCTGAATCTGAGGCACAGTTCATCTACAGGAATGTTTCTTACCATCCACACTTACACTGCTACTTGTCAGCATCTCCTTCTCTTTTTTATTTATCGGATGTCTGGCAGGGGCTGAAGGGAAGGAACCGAGGCAAAAGGAGACATGAGGGAGGTAGCAGGGTTACACCATGTGACCCCGCCAGCTGTTGCTTCATGCTGCTGGGAGGACAGAGAGGGAGGTGAGAGGCGGATAGCAGGGGGAGAACGAGGGGAGGGGTGGAGAGCGTTCACGGCGTACAATGTGACCGGTGACAATCCCTTCTGCGGGGGGAGAGGGAGGCAGCAGGGGATGAACACACACACACACACACACACACACACACACACACACACACACACACACACACATGCTCCGGCAGGGCTGCGCAGAGAGGGAGCTCACACAAACACACCTCTTGTGATTCAGCGGAACAGATTTATTCGTCGCCTCATCCTCACGCAGCGCAGCCGCCTGCAAAACGCACGAGACTATCCCGCCGCGTGCGTCAACCCGCCGCTCCGTCTGCGCCGAACGACGACTCCGTTCGCACAACTCTGCGTGCTTACCTGCGCCTACTGCGTTTGTGTGTGTAGGTGTGTGTGTGTGTGTGTGTGTGTGTGTGTGTGTGTGTGTGTGTGTGTGTGTGTGTGTGTGTGTCGGAGGGGGACACACACGCGAGACCCAGAGACGTAATGGGGAAATTCAACAGCGACGACTGCGTTGAGGATGGGCCAATGGATGAACTGCGGGACAAATAGGCAGACCCCCCCCCCTCCGCACACCCCCTCCCCAAAAGGAACTCCGTGTCTGCACCCCTGCCTTGGGACCTCCCTGCAGGGAGATGTTAATCATAATGGGATAGATAGGCACAGGTCATCCCGTTGCCATGGATACCAGCACGCGAAAATTCACCGTGCGAAGATGGTTCTCCATCTACCTGAAGAACAAGGCGGCGAGGAACAAGAACAACACCGGCTTCTGTCAACTGGAGGTGAGTCGAGCTGCTCTGCTTGCAGCACAAACTTCCTCCAACTGGGGATTAGCGTGTGTGTGTGTGTGTGTGTGTGTGTGTGTGTGTGTGTGTGTGGATCTGCGCATGCTGGGAGCGGGATTGCATCACATTTGCACCATGTGTGAATATTATGGTGCATACCAGCAGCTTTCTCCATTCAACAGCCGAAGAGAGGGAGAGTGCAAAGACTGCGTGCATATGGGGAGAATGGGTGTTTAGGGTTTGTTGTGGAGCCGTTCGGGAGACATTGCAGCATTGTTGCAGCTGCTCCTCTGCCAGTCTGACAAGAATCCATAAGGGGAGAGACAGACACTGTGTGAGAGACAGCTACATGGAAAACACAGTCGGAGAGACAAAAAACGCTAACAGGCCAACAAGCAGTCAGGCAGACAGGTTGATGGATGAATGTAGAGAGACAGATTGATGCTGTGCAAGTGCAGGGCAGCAAAGGGCTATTTATAGCCCAAACAAACCGGTGGGGAAGAGAGAGGGAGGCATAATGCTGTTTGTAGCAGATCTACCTGGTCGTTCGAGATATAAATAGATTGCCTCCCCTCCTCTGGTCTCTGTTGTTGTCACCGAGTGCTGACGTATCATCCTGACATACATCTACCTGTTTGCGTGATTGTTAGTCTTTCTGGCTGGTAACTGGCTGTCTGCTTGTGTTTGTTTACCTGACCGTGCTCATATGTAACGTGATGCTTTGAAGGTCCACGTTAAGAAGATGTCTTTTAAATGTCTTCCCCTTCATGGGAAGGTCAGAGTTGAGGGTCGGCAGTAGGTTAGCTGTTAGTGAGGCCGGATTTGGCTTCCTTCATGTTGATGTATGTCACTGCTGCGTCCCTGTTTAAAGAATGAAACAGCAATTAATCAGATTGAATCTGCACTGTTACTCATTTTGATGTAAAAACAAAATTTGAGACGTGCTGCGGGCAAACTAAGTGCAAGTTTAATTATTTTTGGTTAATATGGACTGAGATATGACTCTAATTTCAAATAAAAAGATTGTGCTGATTTGTCCCTAAAGGCCTGATAATGGTCCAACAAAGACAGTGAAGAATTCTACAAAAGAAAATATGTACTAACTTAAATGAATAAGAATAATATAGTAATTCACTGTATATTAGCAATGTGTAAATAAAGATGAATCTAATTCCTATTTGTAAAACATAAATGCTTATGTGATCAAATAAATTTAGACTCAGGAAAGTGCACAAGCGCAACAATTGCATACAAGTAGAGCGTACGTGGGGGATTTAAACTAATCACTTTTTCTAACTAACTCCTGTTAGTATTTATTAGGTTTACACCAATAGGTTTGGTGTAATCATCGATAACCATCTGTCTTTGTTTGTGTGTTTAGAGGATTGATTTCATATATGTATGGCGGTTTTCTTATCAATATGGATGTTGCATTAACAATAATTCAGCTTTCATTAATCTCATTTTGTACATGTTTCACTTTTCAGACAGAAAAGTCAGAGTTGTTCTTCGCTTTTTTTGTTCTGTAACTGTCTTTGTAAATATGTAAATAACGGAGTAATAGTGAAATCTGTCTCTCTTTCATCAGGATGAAAGTATACTTAAGGAAATTGACATCAGCCACCATGTTAAGGAGGGTTGTGAGAAAGCAGACCCCTCTCAGTTCCAGCTGCTCAAAGTGCTGGGACAGGGCTCTTATGGAAAGGTACAGGATATGCATTTTCACCATAACCTCACTGAATATCCTAAACAATTACTCACATTAAAGGAAGTCAGTGACGCGATATCGGTCAATGCAGGAATCCAAAAGATAACTCATGACACTATGCGTTGTGTACCTGCCTGTCTGACCCAGAAGGTTATTACTTCTTCAGCTGTTACACTGTTTTGGATTATCTGATTACTACTTAAGTTTTACTAGAATACTGATACTTCAAACTCAAATTGAATGGCCAAAAATATGTATAAAGTATGTGATTAAGTCAATTTGTGTGATTGCCTGAGCGCCTCATTCAAAAGCTTTAAGCATTAACAGCTACTATCACAGCCTCCACTCCTGCAGGGAGACTTTCCAAGAGACTCTGGAAACAGAATAGAAGGATTCGCTCCCATTCAGACAGAGATGTTGGACGATAGGAAGTTGTAGTCAGATTGGACGGCGTTGATCCGGGTTTTAAATGGCACCAATTAAGTTATTCCACATCCAAACTGTGAAAAGTTTAGTGCATGAAGATGTTGTCCCCCATTTTCAAATGGTTCATCTTTTAATATTTCTAGATTAGCATTATGACAAATCAAGCCACAGTTAACTACATTTAACAGGAGGTTTAATAAAGTGTACGTGTGCAGTATATGTATGAAAATGTTTTCCTCTGTTAGCAACACCTGGATTATGCAAATCATGTCCTTCTCTATTGTGTTTTTTCTATTTAAACTAATGTGGCTGCTGCCCTGTTGATGACTGTGCTTCCAGGTGTTTTTGGTGAGAAAGATCCGAGGAGTGGACAGAGGGCAGCTGTACGCCATGAAGGTCCTGAAGAAAGCCACACTGAAAGGTAAACAAAGTTTTAAGAAACAAAGTTTGTGGCGGCCGGTTTTCTTTTAATTTTTAAGTACTGTTTGTGAATATGGCGCTAACATATGTGTGTGTGTGTGTGTCGGTAGCATTTAGATGAAGAAGAAGAAAGTAATGATCCTTTATTAAATTATTCTCTGTATTCAACCCAGTGGGAGCGGTTTGCTGCCATGAAGGCGAAGAATTTTTAAATTTAGACACATTCTGCTAAAGTAACAATATACTGTGGGGTTTTTTTCATCCGCAGAGATTAATATTGGATTTGGGCTAAAATAGGTTAGTTTGTACTTTTGATCAAGATCAACTGAACAGGATTATTCTAAACTAGGATGTACTATAAAAGCTGCCAGAGACGCCGTGTGCTGATTTAGTGTCTCCGTACAAGCATTTGTCTGAATCTCATAAATAGTCTCATCCTGTCAAAGAAACAGATGCTGCAGTGACCATTGTGCTGTGATTATAGACCAGAGCAGCGTGGGAACAGCGGCGCCACGGGAGGGTTTAATTCAATCTCTTCAATTAACTTAATGCAGTTTCATCTAATCTTTAGAAGCATTAGAAGCATGGCGTGATTTATGAAGACAGATCTGGCCGATAGCAAGACCATGTGCAGGCAGATTTGAATAACAGAATCATATGTTGTTTATTCATTATTTCTTCATTCTTTCCTGTACAGTTCGAGATCGCGTGCGGTCTAAGATGGAAAGAGACATTCTGGCAGAAGTGAACCATCCATTTATAGTTAAACTGCACTATGGTAGGTCTGACTATCTGTTGGTCTTCATTTAGGTGCTGATTTAAATATATGCCCCCCCCCCCTCCCTAAAACAGGTTGTTGTTTTTCCACAAGCGGTGACGAGATGTTACTTTTTTCCCATTTGGATCTTATTTAATTTCATATACATCTTTTCCACTTTAAATGCATCCTCAAAATAGCACAATACAAAGAGCCCCAAGTCAGCTATATTGTCTCATATTATTTGTGTTAACTAGTGTTTGTATGTGTGTGTGTGTGTGTGTGTGTGTGTGTGTGTGTGTGTGTGTGTGTGTGTGTGTGTGTGTGTGTGTGTGTGTGTGCATGCGTGTTTAGCCTTCCAGACGGAAGGAAAGCTCTATCTGATCCTAGACTTCCTCCGAGGAGGAGATCTTTTCACTCGACTGTCAAAGGAGGTAGGTTTACTCCTCCCCCCTTTACTCCTCCTGGTGCATTATTGGCTGGATGACACTTAGGCAGATTTGTCCTGTGAACACTGTGTTGACGTGACCCTGCATGACCTGCATAGCTGTCAGTCCAAGGTGTTAACAGTAAACAAACACATGATGACAGTGATAAAAAAAATGTCTTTGTTTGTTGCAGGTAATGTTTACTGAGGACGATGTGAAGTTCTACCTGGCAGAGTTGGCCCTGGCCTTGGACCATCTACACAGTTTGGGCATCATCTACAGGGACCTAAAACCTGAAAAGTATTTTTTTTCATAAAAGCTTACTTCTATGCATCCAATCATTGTTTTCAAAATATTTATTCATGTTTATTTTCTCTAAACAGTATTCTTCTGGATGAAGAAGGAAACATTAAGATAACAGGTCAGTGTGGCACTTATCAGCAATTTCACCTGCGTCAACTTTCTGCCTTTCTATTAATGTCTTGTCCATGTACATCTGTCTGTGTTTCAGACTTTGGATTGAGTAAGGAGGCCATCGACCACGATAAAAGAGCGTATTCGTTCTGTGGAACAATCGAATACATGGCTCCAGAGGTGGTGAACAGGAGAGGACACACACAAAGTGCTGACTGGTGGTCATTTGGGGTACTTATGGTGAGAATTGTTTCATCTTAAAACATTATTTTACTTTGAAAATATAGTTGCCATTTTTAGTAATCCGTTCACTTTTAATCGGAGCAAAAAAACACTTTTTATTCTGACTTTCTTTACTGTCAGTGTGAATTGGCTCATATTTCCTTACATTCATCGTCACACGAGCCAAATACTCATCTCTTACATAACGTGCCAGTTTACTGCTTTCTGATTCTAACTTTCTTCTGGCAGTAAAGCTGCTTAATTACGGCTTCTGGCAGATTAGGTCCCATTACTTTCTGTAATCATGCATCTGTTGGATTTCGCTTGTCTTGTTTGTCGGGTGGCTTATTTTTTAATAATACTAAAAAGGAGGTTAACATTCACTGACAGCTGACGAGCAGAACATTTCAAAATATTCCCTCTGGACTACAGATTTGTGGAAAGCAGAGACAGAAGTGGGAGCTCTCTCTAAGTTAAAACAGCATTTTTTCATTCAAAACACTGTAATAAATTTGGCATGGTGAATAACATTAACAATGTCAACAGCAGATGCAGACTTGTTGCCACTCATCAGGCTGTTTTAGTTCTCCGTTTAAGTTATTTATTGTGCTTTGATTTTTCTAATGTAATTAGTGTCCGATTCATCATTTATTCATTATGTTTGTTGTCAAAAATATATCGGTTGACTGGTAGAAGTATTGGTCTAATGGTGGATTTGAAGGTGAGAAGAAGTTGTAGTTCTGACAACGTATTAATGTGCTTTGATCTTCGACAATTAACATCATCTGTTTCCCAGTTTGAGATGTTGACAGGATCGTTACCATTCCAAGGAAAAGATCGGAAGGAAACTATGGCACTTATACTGAAGTAAGAATACTTTAACTGTCATCATTTCATTTCAAACGCTTCTTTGATTTATGACAAAATCTCAAGGTTCCATGGATTCCTTACGTGTTCATGGTTTTGTGTTTTTAATTAACCTTGTTCTTAATTTCTATGTAGTAGTTCCATAACAGTGGTTTTCTTGATACACAGTGTGGGATAGAGGATTTTGATCATAACTAAAGTTGATGCCTGGAAAACGATACCTCATGTAACTACCAGAGATCTGCATGTCCTCACACCCGTTTCACGTCTTTTCTATACAGGGCTAAGCTGGGGATGCCACAGTTTCTCAGCACTGAAGTGCAGAGTTTATTACGAGCGCTCTTCAAGAGGAATCCTGCTAATCGACTCGGTACGGTTCACACAAAACCCGACACTTGAAACGAAAATGTGCTTTCAGAATATTGGTAGCACAGCTACATGTTTGTGACGCTTTGGGTCATATGAGGAATCACAAGGCTGCAGATAATAAGTAACAACGGGAAATTAAATCTGTCAATTTGAGTTGTTTAACGCCTTATACATTATTTGAACAATGTTGAACATTCATGTCACAAATGTCAGAAATGTATCAACTGGTCTGAATGTGTGGGACTAACAGGTGCAGGACCGGATGGAGTGGAGGAAATAAAAAGACATCGCTTCTTTGCATCGATAGACTGGACCGTAAGTACAATTGATGCAGAATGTTCTACGGTCGTTTTCAGTCGTCCAGCACTATTATTTTAGCCACAACGAGGGACTGCAGACTCTCTGGCGTCATGCACATGCTGTGGGCACTGAACAAATGAATCACAGTTTCGTGTGGAATTGGAACAGTTGGCCACAAGTTGGCTTGTGACCCTGCTAGGGTGAGAACAGATCTAGGTGTGCATTGTATGCCACAGCTGCTGTTAAGGTCTGTACATTAACACCCAGTGCAACTACCAAACATCACATCTGGTTGCTCAACACTTTACACGCTGTACATAGATTATATGTGTTGAGTTGTTTCATGTAAGAATGAAAGAAAAAAGAAAGAATGAAAACAAGTTATTTCATCCTGAAAGTTTTGCTTCTGAGATGCAGTACTCAGATCAGCGGCCTGTGTTGAATTTAAAAACGTGTGTCATGAGAAAAACACATGATCTAAACAACATTGTGGCAACATAGAAAATCCACAGCTGTGATCCCATTTCTAAATAACGTACCCACATTAAAGAGTCATAACTTTTTATTGCTTTGTAGCCAAATCTCCAACTTCTCTGTCTGCCTGTCTTGCCCAACTTTACTGAAATTAATCCTCTTATAATATCCTTTCTCACAGAAATGTTGCTCATGCGCACAGTTTCTGGCTGCAGACATTACCCGTGCTTTCATAATCTGACCTTGACAGCCACTCCTTGGATGTGAGAGGCTCAAAATTCACTCACAAGTAAACACACTTGCCCAAAGCTGTTATTTCCGCAAAAAGCTCACATTGGCGAAACGTAACGCACTTATTTAACTAGTGTATATCCTTTACAGGCTACATTCCCCTTTTGGTTTTAAACAACCATTTTCACAATAACAGACAGCACACATGCAAGTGGTGAATGTGAACATTCCTCACTGCGTGAGCCTCGTTCATAGTCACACTGTTGCAGCCATTGCTCTTCATCAGAGATGTTCTGAAGGCTTGTGACTCTTGTTTATCCGTGAGGAGTGATGCTCTCCTTTCTACTCCAAATCCACTGGTATGAGCTCTACATGTCCACTAATCTCTTCCCTTCACCACCGGCTCCCACTGTATTCCTCTCTACATAACTACTCACCGGCCTCTGCCAAATACCACATTTTCCCATTTCCAGATGGTGTTGTTGGCTTGACGAGCTATAAGAGTCTTACGTTCTCCGACACACTTTGCTAATTAAAACCGTGTCCCTTATCAGGTATAGCGCCTTTCTCTGTCAGCTTGTTTGGTTGTGAACTTTCTGTCTTTTATTCATGTTTGATGACAGTGATTCAATCTCAAACATCACCTTCAGAGTGAGTGTGCATTAGTCTCACAATAGATACCAATGCTGGAGCCTCTGTTGGGTGTTTCACTCAGTCCTGCTAGACTGTCGTTGACGCTGCAATGATGACACCTGCAGGACATGCACAGTAGTGCAGTTGAGTAAATATATAATATAATTGAGTATATAGAAATATAATACAGTATGTGCATATATAATTGGCGGTTTTCACTTTAAATATTTTAATTTAAAAAATGCTTTTTTAATTACATGTTTTTTACTTTTGCTCTGCTCTTTGTGCTCTACTTTATATTTAAAGATCAATCTTTGTCACTGTGTCATTGTGATCAAGCTGTGGCATGATTAGTTTGCTTTGAGATATGAGAATAACTGTGACATAAATATTGAATTTAACTGTTGTGGAACCCAATGTATATATATTTCACTTTTCGTATTAGAAGTAAGCACAGCAATAGAACTGAAACCAAAAACAACAGAAAACCTTTCACTACAAACATTTACTGCAAGTTTATATTCATTCCTATTGTGAAGCTGCATTAGAACGTGTTATTTTGTATTCAAATCAGACGTTAATGATACGTGCTAACTCCAACTGTCTTTGGTGTTTTCTGTAGAAGTTGTTCAGGAAAGAATTGAGGCCTCCATTCAAACCGACAGTTGGAAGACCTGAAGACACTTTCCACTTTGATCCTGAGTTCACCTCCAGAACACCCACTGGTAACCGAGAAGTGCAAAAACATAGAGATATTTACCTGGGTCTATTTGTCTGCTCTATTCATTTTAATTGAATGTTTAGCCTTCATCCATTTGACACAAGTAATTCTATCATAAACCGACTATGTTATTGAAGGAAATAAAACCAAGATGAATAGACAACAATGTATCTGCATATAGCTCATATAATTTAATTAACTTCAAATGTGTTTTCAACACTACTTGAAAATCCTAATTGTATTTCAATTTTGAATAGGAACATCAGGTCCAAGCACTGTGAGCACATGTTTGTATGTGTCTGTCTTTGCCTATCCAGATTCTCCCGGAATCCCTCCGAGCGCCAACACACACCAGCTGTTTCGTGGCTTCAGCTTTGTTGCAACGAATCAGAGTCAGGAGCCAAGCGCTGCTACGGTAGCACCTTCCCGCCAGGAGGTGAACAAAATCAATCCCATAGCAAAGGTACATGTCTTAAATACAAAGTGGTTAAGGCCCTGTCTACACAGATAACAAATTATCCAAACATAATATATGACTTGCACATTTGACCATGACGGATATAATATGGAATGCAATTAAATGAGATGCAATAGAAGCGTGTGCATCTGTATGCTTGGTTGTGTTCCCCGCAGCACTTCCAGGGTGACGTGGCCTTCAGTGATGTTTATGAGCTCAAAGGGGAAATTGGACAGACAGCGACTTCTGTCTGCAGAAGTTGTCTACACAGAGTTACTGCTGTGGAGTATTCGGTGAAGGTAGTGGACTCTAAACTTTTACTGTAATTTATTCAGATATACAGTATATCATTGTGAGATCAACGTTATATGATCTTAAAAGTATTTTGAACATGCATTAAAGTAATTAACTGTGTTTCTCATAGTATTTCAGCACAGCTTGACCTGAAACACATGTCTGAATCCAACCAACCAAATGTAGTGATTACTTATGTCCTGTTGTTTGGGTTTTTGTATCAGATCATTGAAAGAGCCAAGAAAGATCCATCAGAGGAGATTGAGATCCTGTTAAGATACGGACAGCATCCAAATATTATCACCCTGAAGGACATAAGTGGAACTCACCCATTCCTGACAAATGTTTTTCTACAGCCATGTTAGAAGAGCTTCGTCTGCCTCTTTACAGGATATAATAGGGTTGGGTGGAAAAGTCAATACATTATTATCAAGTTTGAATGTCAATATTGTATTGATACATGGATTCCAAGTATCAACCTTTTATTGTGTGTAACCTATTAATATCGCAATTACAAATTAAGCCTCATGATAGTAATTGCTTCTTTACTCTACTTCAAACCGACGGCTCAACTAATAAACCAATTTAGCTCCGATAAAAATGATTGACGTGAGACAACTGGCTTATTATCGTATTAGATAAAACAGTTAGAACAACGTATACTGTATATTCACTTTTTGTGTTGCTGCAACATATCACAAATTGAAGAGCATCGCAATAAGATTGTACTGTGACACAAGTGTTGTGATCATTTCTTCTGGTGATTCTTCCTCGTGCTTTTACCATCAGGTGTATGACGACGGCCAAAGTGTGTACCTGGTGCAGGATTTACTGAGAGGAGCTGAGCTGCTGGACAGAGCTCTGACAGTGCCAAACTTTACAGAAAGAGATGCGTCAGACATCATCTGCACATTGACAAAGACTGTGGAATATTTACACTCCCAGGGGGTAAAAGATATTTCTAGTGATCTCTTGACACCATCTCTATCCTTTTGCTGTTTTCCTCGACTTGCTAAATTCAGTTTGGTTTTGTGCATAAAAGTAATCATAAGTTGATCATAAGTGTGTGTGTGTGTGTGTGTCTTTCTCATGTTTTCAGGTCGTGCATAGAGATCTGAAGCCTAGTAACCTTCGCTATTCGGATGACAGCGGACTCCCAGAATCCATCCGGATATGTGATTTTGGTTTTGCCAAACAACTGAGGGCTGAGAATGGCTTGTTGATGACTCCCTGTTACACAGCTACATTCATGGCTCCGGAGGTACTGCAAAAAATTAATCATAATAGGAAGTCTGTTATATCTCACCAAAACCAAATGACAAAATGCCCATAAAAAGTATATAAAAAATAATAATTTACAGTAAAAAAAACTTTGCTGTGATAAACTGTTAAAATGTGTTTGTGTGTGTGTGTGTGCAGGTTCTGAAGAAGCAGGGTTATGATGCCGCCTGTGACATCTGGAGCCTGGGGATCCTGCTCTACACCATGATAGCGGGGTCAGTTGAAAGTTTAAAACACATGCAAAGTTACCATTTGCTGCTCACGCTCCTCCTCCAATCCCTTATGCTCTGAGCACTACTGCACTTAGAAGGTAGAAGGCTACCTTTGGACTGACATCATACAGCCTTTAAGGTGATATTTTATTCCCATTGGCGCAGCTTCAGTCCATTTGCCAGCAGTTCTGAGGACACAGCAGAGGAAATTCTGGCTCAAATCGGCTGCGGAAAATTCATCATCACAGGAGGGAACTGGGACCTGGTATCAGACTCTAGCAAGGTTGTATTTTTTCCTTTTTTTGGTTAAATAGATGCACATGAAATGGTTGTGTTTCTGTCTAAATGAACTAATATCACCTATGCATATGTTTTACAGGAGATAGTGATGAAGATGCTTCACGTGGACCCCCACCAGCGCCTGACTGCTCCACAGGTACTATTAGTTCCTAACATGAGGTTTTACTATATTATAGATTTATAATCTCTTGACAGGAAACAATATTAAATATTACACTAAACTAAGTCATGTGTTATTTGTATGTCAACCATAGAAGAACGGTGTGTAGACAATTTCACGGAGGTTATCAGCATATATATAATATTAACAACCTTCTTTTCATTAGTGTAAACTTTTTGTAAGCTCACAGTGAGCCGTTTATATTAACATTGGCAGGAGGTCCTCTTCACTAAGTCGGCCATGTTTCTACAGTAGCCCAGAATGGACAAACCAAAGAATACCTCTAGAGAGGCCTTTTGCCTTCTTAGGTTACATGAAGGCCACTGTTACTCTCAGGCGTGCTTGGAAAGGGAGGGATGAGGAGAGCGGTGTACAGCTGGATGCAATGTCACTATGCCAATGATCCTACACGGTGCTCCTTTAACAGCAGTTTTTGAAAAATATAAAAACTATTTTTTTATGCCCATTAGGTTCTTCGTCATCCCTGGATTGTAGAAAGAGACCAACTGTCTGACCGAGCTCTGAACAGACAAGATGTTCTTACTGTCAAGGTCAGTGCAGGAATACATTCAGAATATATATATATATAAATGTACCATTTCACCTGGCAGATTTAAGATTTATTTGTCAAATGCTTGTGACATGCCTGGGATTTTGTACGTGTCTGTGTTTCCCTTGGCCACAAAAGTATCAGTTAAAGAAACTAATTCTTATTTATTATATTATGGCACAATGCTAAAACCTGCAATGGGTTCACTCTCTTTCTACCAGGGGGCGCTGTCTGCCACTGCTTTAGTTTCACGACCGATTGAATCAGCGTTAACATGATATACTGGTTTGTTCCACTAGGGGGCGCTGTCTGCCACTTACTCTGCTCTGAAGCGCTGCGCTCCTGCGCCACTGTTGGAGCCAGTTCAGTCCTCCAGCCTGGCTCAACGAAGAGGAATGAAGAAACCGGTGTGCCCCAAATCTAATTCAGACACCACAGAAAAGCAAAGTCTCAACAATCTGAATGAAAATAAAGACATAAACCCACATAATTAGAGAAATGCATAAACCACGTTACAAAGTGCTCCTTGATCTATGAAAACGAAATGTAGCAGATTTAAAGGATTGTATCACAAACGGGACTAAGCTTGGATAAATATAACAGTAAAGCAGTCGAGAAGCACTAGTATCACGACTAGCTTCAATCAATTTATAGTGTAAATAGCGTTTCCATTTTTATGCAACATTCATCACGCGCACTTGCGACTTTTATTTGATCAAAACCAAACAGCTTGAAGAACTTGACCATCATTACCCTAAAATTATAATCATCATCTTGATCCCGAGCACAGAGAATTTCATTAAATCAATCGGAAACCTTTTGCAATCCCGCATCTGTCCTATAATTACTATAAGCCCACCCTCGGCCCCCTTTAGGTTCAATAGGTTGAAACTAAATTATTCCAGTTAATATTATCTTATTTTAAACTTTGAGCCTGGCTTTCACAAAACCTTCTAATAGTTAGATGACGGCTATTAAAACTAAAATAAACTAAACAAATTGGCAGTCAGTATTTAACGTGAACACATGGATTTATTTTTATTTTTGGTCACACATCTCAGAATATAATTTTAAATTCTAATGCAATATGGACAAATAGTCAATATCTAATTTGTTTGGTCACCAAATTCATAATTAGTTGAATTGAATGCCACAAACAACACGCCACAACGTCATTTTTAGTGTTAACATGTATGTCCCTAGTTAGTTTCATACATTAATACAGTCTTCCACAGGCATTACTCGAACATATCTCCGTCTATAGATATGTTAGATCAATATCATCCAACAATATAGGTTAGAAAAATATGTATTTGAATGTTTCCTACTATCAATCCTCTGAATTACAGACATATGCATGTTAAAAATGTACATATCCTACCAAAGGGAATCATTAAGTCAACAATGCCATTGAAGTCTTATATTGTAATATTGTACAATCTATGGTGAAACGTAACACTATCGCACATCCCAGATCAGATGGAACATTGAGCTATGAAAGTATTTATGTTGAACGTAGTTTCTTGTGTTTTTATCAGAACGCATTCAAAATGTTACTGAACTTAAGGGAAGTCACAGAGGCGTGAAAACCGGGAGAGCATCATATTGCTGTTCGGTGAATGTCACGATCTTAGTAAAACTCTGCGGCTACATTATTTTGAAATATTCACTCAGCAATCAGTGTGAGGGATCATCTTTCAGTGTGCACTTGAGTGTGTCTAGTAGCTGACAGCACAACTCTGTTTGTGTCTGAAAACCAAAATGTTCGACAACCACTGTGTCAGAGGATTGTATATAATGTCCACTGTCTATTGCTGCTGCCCTGATTGTAGCTAATAACTTGTACCGCAAATACGAGGTAAGACCGAACAGTGTGTTTCGCAGACAAGAGTTCCACACTTTGTGTTGTACAATTTACATACATCATACTTAACACACAGAAGTCTCATGTGCAACTAATAAGCACTGTAGCAGAGAAACAGTAATTCTGTACATTTTATATATGCTGATCCACATGCTGGGTGTGTTGTGACACATTGCACAACGTGGTGCGTGGTGGAGCTGGGACTGATGCAACTGTGAGGATGCAGATAAGGTTGTAGATATCGTGTTGTTTAAGGCATTGCTGTACATACTGTTTACGAATTTAGATTGTACATAAAATGTTGGCAATCAGTAAGACTGTATATATTGTGTTTGCATATATATATAGAGAGAGAGATTGTACATATTATTTTGTCCATTGCTATCCATTGCTCAGAGTGTACAAACTGTCTATACCTGCCCAATCACTGAAATTATTGGCTTGAATGCCAAACTTTTACAAATAAAGGAAAACAATAGAATGTTGCTGTATGTGTAAATGCAATTCAGATAGCATTCTTTTTTTATTGTTTACATTTTCCTGCTCTGACATGACTGCACTGAAAAAGTAGTATTTAACACCACTACTATTTACCACTACTTCTCCAGAGGTCATAGAAACACTATTGCACAATTTCCGCTTCACTTTCCTTAAATATTAATTTATATGATTTATCAAAGGCTGTTTGAGCTAATTAAAAGCTGAATTATGTGGGTTAATAGAGGCGGAAAAAGTTACATTTTATACATATAGGGTGACAAAGACACGTAGCTCTAAAATGCATTTACGTATAACAAATAAATCAATCCAACAAATTATTATTTGTAATGTAATACAGTTTTATGAGGAAAAATATAGAGTTCCTTTAACTTTCTTTATCCACAATAATGTAGCAGCAAGCCACTAGATGGCAACCAATCATAACCTGTGCTCTCACTCTTCTCTCTTCATATTTCTTAGTAGAAGTTGTCCCTTTTGAGCCTCAATCCCCCCCCAAAAAAAGAAGAAGCAAGGAACACTTTAATTTATATCAACCACCAGGCTCACTCTGGTTTCCGTAAAAGCTTTTAGCAGGCGCTGAGCTGATGTGTCAGGTGGGTGTGGCAGGCTCATCAGCTCTGACATTTAAGTGCAGTAGTGCTCAGAGCATAAGGGATTGGAGGATATGAGTAGATACAGATGACAAGCCCCCCTGTGAAGATGATTGCAGTGGAGTGACAAGAGGAGACCAAACAACAGATAGAGCAAGGAGAAGGTGTCAAGAGGGGAGAGACGAAAGGCAAAAGAAGAGCTTTGAGAAACAATAACTCAACCCAACAATTACAGCTTTATCAGAATTAATGTTGGCTTTCATGATGGAACAACTTTAAAAAATACACTCATGTAAATTCAGTATATGTACGTAATGTACATTATCATTTAATCTTACTTAGATTTGAATCAAATCAGATGGTTCTAGTTTTCTTCTTCTTCTAGTCTTACTTAAATGAACATATTTACCGGAAATAAATTAAATAATGAGCAAGAAAATGTGCTTTAAACAGACATTTATGTTCACATCCTATAAAACCAAACTAAAATTGTCCTTGAGCAAGTGCTGTTTTGTAGCATGAAATAACCGCTGAGTTTATTACAATGATGGCATGCATGTCACTGTATTTGAAGGGTTTGGGAATGATGATGAATGGGAATATATGCAAGATCTATTGCTTATCAACCGCTAAAAAACTGACTACGATCAGACAAGTTTTTCCTGAAACACTCAGATAAGTCAGATGCACAAAGCAGAGTGTAGTGGAAAGGCATCTCCAATTACATATTTCGTCTGAAAGGAGTAAAAGCTTCTTTTTATTTATATATATATATGTGAATATATATACAAAATGTACTGGTGGTTGACACTGAGGGGCACTGATGTATTTCCAGTGATTCTGGCTACAAAATACGTGCAGATAAAGATGGATGCATGAAGAAGACATGCCATTGAGTTGATGTTGAATGTGAAACGTAAACACTTCCCTGTGTATCTGTATCTGCCCCTCTCCTGCTCAACATTCCTCTTCTGACATGAAACAGAGTTCTGAAGACAAGCGACATACACACTCTGACAGGGACGGAGATCCCACCACCTATGGCACTGGGTTTGCACCCACACACCCACACACACACACACACACACACAGGGACAAGTACACACAGACCCACGGACACCCTGTGGCACTACAGCTAGACCTGCCACTCGGACGTTCACCGAATCAGACGGACAAATCTCTAACAGACGGCTCCTGACAAAGAGATTATCGCCATGGCAGGAGAAGTGTGCGCAGCTGTGGGTGGTGGAGTTTACAGCCGATGCATTGGGGGGTGGGGAGCGAATTCTTTGTGCTTTCACACATTTGACTCTTCCTTTCTCTCTCTCTCTCTCTCTCTATGCCAATTTCTTGATTCAAATTAATTCAGGGTTCATGAGATGCGTACTTGCCGTCCGTCTTGTGTCTTGTGTGTTTTTTGGGAGTAAAAAAAAGAAACACAGACGCACGGCATCAGGCCGAAGTGAGATTTACTCTACTCAACTGTACTAAACATGACGGTGAGGTTAAAACAAGGTGATTGGTGGAAAAAGAATGTTGTGAGATGTTTTAAACAAGCAGTAGTGTGCTTGATCGATGCCACTCATTAACACACCCGCTGTCCAATGACACAAATAGACAAACAGCTATTTGGCATTTTTCTTAATCAATTTCTGCTTTAAGTCAGTCAGTTTGGTTCAAGTCTACTTTTATTTATTTATTTAGTAGCATCATGTTTTTTTTCTTGTTGTTTTGTTCTTCAATGCAGAACATCATTACACACTAATAGTCGGTGAAGACCATCTTAACTATGGTGGAAAGAGACGATCGAGCCCAATTTATAGAAAAAGGCGATCCGTAGCGGCCAGTGCCCTGCCCACTATGATGCATTGTTCATTTTTAAAATCAAACATTTCTGCTGGTCATACAGAACAGAAACAAAACTTTGGGAAGGCTCTGTGTAGAGGCCCACAATGACCTGTTCATTGCACTGCTGTATATTGGATTAACAGTGTACCATTGAGGTACGGATGCTTTCATGTACGCACAAGTGAACAGGAAGTGAAGCTAGGAAATAATGGCCTAATGTTCGAACTAAACCTGCATTCTAGATACTGCAGGTATTTCTTAATTAATGGGTACATTTTCCAACATGTGAAGTACAGTGATTTATTATATTTCAAGTTCAGAAATATTTTTATTAGATTAATAATTTGTGTATCTAACCAAGAATGCCACCAAGATTGGGTCTAATTGCATAAAGGTACCAAGTAGCCACTGTGTATGAATTGGTTGACGGGACACAGTTTGACATTTCCCGGCACAGTTTTGAACAACCCACAAATTGCTGCAATAATGGTGATATAATTATGTCATCCCAACACAAATACACTTACAAGTCAAAGGTGCCAGTGGAGGATAAGTGAAGCTCCGTAGAAAGTCAATTAATCATTGCAGCGGGTCCCCTTCCCTCCACCCTGCTTAAAAGCTTCATTTACCTCCTATGGAGAAGAGATAGAAACACCATTAGTGAGATGATGGCAGGACGAGAGAGGGGAAAGGAGAATCTCACAGATGGCTGAGCTGAAACAGTATAGGCCCCCGTCTCCTCAAAAAGTGTGTGTGCGCGCGAATGGGCGAGAGCATCTTCTGCGTGGGCGAGCTCAATTAGGTCCTGTCTTGATTATCAAAGGTAGCGGTGTACAACTTTTAAGGCGGAAGTCTGCCTCAAACGCTGGCGATGGCAGAGAGTGGGCTGACCTGCGGAGTCAAGCGGAAGACAGATAACCGCGGAGATGTGGCTGAGGGGTCTCCTGCTGCAATGAGGTGCGATTCAAGGCGTGCATTAAGGGATAAGACCCAAGCCATTATTTCCATATCTAAGCCAGTGTCTGTGTGTATCTGTGTGTGTGTGTGTGTGTGCGCCTGCGGAGGGCTTGGGACCCCAGCTGGATCAATTATATTCCTGTGTTTACATGCACACGTTTGGGTGTGTGAAATGCCAGTGAGCATATAGGCTCTGCTTCACTGAGCTCTGTTGGCTACTGAAGCACAATTAGGGGTCTCACTGTGTGAAAGAGGTCAAAACACACGTGCACACACACAGACACACGCACATACAGGGGCACACACAGACACAAATAAGGAAGTTTGGCTGAGTGCTCAAGACACAGATAATCAACAGTATGCAAATCAGCAAGTTCTTTCTTCTCTGCAAAGACAAATCAATAAGTTACACAATGTAGGTTATTGAAGTTAATGTCCCTTATACATATCACAATATCTTTGAATTATTTTGTATATTTCTTAAAGCATGCACTTCATTCTTAACCACTGTAGTCTGATCTCAGGGCAGCAGTGCTTAACTATGGGCTGATAAAGTTGCTGCTAAAGGAAGGTCAGTATAAATTGGTAGACAGAGAACGAACGCAAACACTAAGTCACACTAAGTGCAGGCAGAAGGCCCAGTCTTCAGCTTCTTAATTGCGAGCCTTCAGTGTCAACCCTTAGGAAAAATACAAGCCAATAACATGCTTGCCGTTCAATACGTGCACTATTACATATGCTGTGCTGCTCAGGCTCCTTCAGGGGATATCATAATTGCCAATCACTATGCACAGCAACAAAGAGAAGATTCATGTAAATATCCATCCTGCCACGCCAACGTGCCTGTTTGCACTACTGTGTAAACAAATGCTTTGTCCCAGTTAACTAGGTCCCAGTTGGACCAAACCTATTCGGCATTGGTCCACCGATGCTGGTGTGCTTTGGTTACACCAAGAGCCTTATATATCTGGGCATATGTTTGTGTTATGAATGTGGCAGCCAGGGGATAGCATGCTGCTGCTGCTGCTGACACTGGGCCTGTCTGCCTGGTGTGCCCCTTTCTGCACCAGCAGAGCTGGCACTACCTCCTGCCTCTGCCCAGCCGACTCGCAGTGTGCCAGCTGGGCGCTACCAGGAGAGAGCCTGCAGAGCGAGGACACAGGTCAGCCGTGACAGAGAGAGAGAGTTAGTGGCAAGGTTTAGACACAGCGCAGGGATATAAACATACTGGGGAAAGAAACGACAGGCAGTTCTAAGACAGCCACGCAAAATAAGTCCTCATTCTTACAGCTTCTTTTTTTAACGTTGTACCTATATTGTAATCGATCCAAAGTCCTTATTTTACATAGAAGAAGCAAATGTACTGTGCAACAAAAGCAGTGCATACAAAGATATCTGAGGTGCAGTAATTCATTCATGCTGTTTCTCCAATTAAACCAATCTCAAGTTATACCAGATCGCAAATCTAGTCCACACACATGCTTTGCAACCGGATTGCTTGATGCATAAAATAGTGTAAATAGAATAAATGAAAAAAAAATGTATAGATGTATTATAATGCAGTTTTAGTTAGTTGTAGTTGACGAGATAAGTTA